CGGGCGGGGTGGAGGAGATGATGTGGCACCTGCCATTGTTACGCTTCTGAAAATCACTTTGGTTCGGCTGCTTTTCCAAATATTTTCCTTATTAATTCAGCACATAGAGCCTTCCTTTCATCGCACAGAGCAGTCTTATTTAAACATTTAGGTCCTTTTTTCCTCTCCTTTCCCCACTTAGCATTAGACTTTTCTTAATTCTTCCAACTTTCCTCATCCTCCCCTTCCTAGAGTTTATTTCTATCTCATCTAACCATGGTCTCTGTTCACACTGTTTTTTCTACTTTTCAGTTGTTCTGTTCTCACTCTCTCTGACCCCACGTCTCTACATGTGTAGTCTGTCCCCATCTCCTTCTGTCCTTGCACCTTCTATTCTGCTAGAGGACCGGTACCTCCTCTTGTTCCATGCTCATCCCTCTGCAATTACACTGCCCACACTTTTCCTGAAGAAAACATGACTGCAGCCCCTCCTTGTTTATAGCTGTATTGTCTTTGGCCACAGACTCTCTATCTTCTAGCATCGTGGCTTCTGCTGTTTTCTTGTGTCTCCTCCTTAGTAGCTGGAGATCATTCTTCCTCCTGACTGTGTCTGTTATCTTCCGGTTGCTTTCTCATTAGATGTTGAAGTGTGTGAGGAGGGGGTACCTCCATAAGGAGTCCTTCGGACAAGAACGGGGAGGACTCTGATGAGGCGGGGTAATAGTCTGTGAGGGGGCACAGACTGGAGGTGTCGAGGACTAAGCCCATTTGAAGTGGCTGGATTTGGTGCCATGGGGGACCCTCTTCCCTGAACCTCTGTCTAAACGAGTGCTGCCTTCCCCATATCTCTAATTTTGCAAATGTCCTTGCTACTTGAGCCCTTTATTGAAAGGGATGCACCTCAGCAGCACTACTCACCCTCGCATTCCCTTCCAGGGGACAAGGCAGACTTTGTGATGGGTGGTCAGAAAACTGCCACTGAAGTGGGGCAGGAATTGGGAGTCCAGCGGGGCACGGAGGAGGGGTGTCCAGGGGGTGACTGAGAGCGAACAGAGAGTAATCTGAGACTCGGCACTCCCTGCCTTGCGTTCGGGTGAAAGCCTATCAGCACCACTACCCAGAGAAACCCTCTTCCAGGATGAGCAGTGTGACAGCCGTTAAAACACACCAAGAGCTGATCCAGTCTCTTGGCTAGTCTGATTGAAGGTGGGAAAAGGATCCGAGAATTGGGGTGCTGTGTTCTGTAACCAGGCTTCCAGCCTCTATGGGTCTCCGTATTTGTGGAGGGGTTTGCTGTTGGGATTAGTGATGGCGCTGTCTCTCGCCATGAGGCCTGTCATCCCACTTGCTCTAGCAAAGTGTCAAAAACTCAGAAAACCACTTCTGGCCCACTGGAAAATAAAATAGTCCTCAGCTTAACATAGCCAAATGGTGTCTTCTCCAGACAAATATCAAGCCAATTCTGCATCAGCCTATTAATGTTACTTTCAGCTGCTTTGTTGTGCTTTATGTTTGTTCTGGCTGAGACTTAGCAGATTATTCAGCAGGCTAATTCTGTCAAACAGCAGGCAGTAATTTGTCGAAGACATTCAAATGTAAACAGAATTCCTGTTGCACATTGCCATTGGTTTGACTGAGTGGAGCTAATCTTTCACCTGACAACCAGACCGTTTTCTCTTTTCAAAAAGACATCTGAAAACCATGGTGACCACTGAAATCAGAAGGTGGAGATGAAGCCCTGGCAGTTCCCACCCTTTGTGGAGGTGTGCAAGGAGTTGGTGGGTGTTGGCTGATGTGGTGATGGGCATGAGCAGAGGAATGGGAATGCCAGGAGGTGGCGAGGAGGCCTTGTGACTTGGTGCAGCCTGTTCGTTGCTTTCAGAGTCTTCATTGGAAGATGAAGACCATGGTCTGTGGCTTGCTGCACCTTGCCCTCTCTGTTATCTCTGGGGACTCTGGACCTATTCCTCAGCCAGCCCCTGCTAACAAGCCCTAGTGGGTGTTAGAGAGTGAACAGCTCAGAGTACTTTCAGCTCTTAGGGGTGTTTGAGGCTCAGTGAAGACACAGATCCGGCTGTGCAGCAAGTTGCTGGACAACTCAGAGCTGCTGTGCTGCAGCCCCTGCCCTGCATGGCCCAGTTTCTCGTGGTCAGTGGCACTGGTTGCACCCTAAGCAGAGGGGAGCAGTGGCTGGGCGAGGGTCAAAGACTGCTCCCTTTGTTCTGGATGAATCCTGTGGAATTGCTGGGATGGAGGGGGGAGCTTGGGGGGAAGCATGATCACCCCAAGGCCAGCTGGAGCTTGCAGACCTGGAAAAGGTGGCAGTGGTGAGTCAGCGTAGCGATGAGTCAGCTTAGTGCTGGGGTTCAGCTCTGCCAGGCCACATGGTGAAACTTCCATGGTTTGTCCAGGAGCAGGATGGTCTCGCACTCTTTGCAGCATCCCAGTGTGTGATACTCCTCAAGCAGGTACTCTCCCAGCAGTTAGCAACTCGTGTCCCGCTGCTTCTGTCATCCCAGGGGTGCCTTCTGCTGTGCTTCAGGGGTGGCTCTGAGCCCAGGCTATCAGTGTGTGTGTTGAGCATGTTGCTCTCTGCTCCCTGTGCCAGGATCTGTTAGGTGGGCCTTCAGTCTGACCATGACGGCTGGTCCCATTGAAGTGCTGCCTGTGCAGTCTTCCTACCACGGTCACCTACTGAGGAGGAGATGGCATTGTAACTAACGGGGTCACCAGGCCCTCTTCATCTCGGCATCCTTCCTCGTGGTGTAGCCATTCTTTCCCTTGCTGTTTGCTTGCCCTGACTTCCCTGTAGGGGTTGCCTGAGCTGTTTCAGCATATGGTGGATGACCTTTATCACAGATTTGAGGCTGCTGGGCACAGGCAAAGCCTTGTGACCAAGTCTGGTCGCACCCTCGGTAGCGAACCTTTCCACCTATTCTCAGGGACTTGCCACTTCTCACTCTGCTCCGTGGGAAGGTAAATTGCATTTCCAACAACAAAACTGGTTGGTGCCCATTTTGGAAAGAAAAATATTCTTCCCTAGTTGGAGCTCCCTTTCTGTACTGAAGGTGAAGGACCACGGTAATCTGCCATGGGGATCTGAATCCTGAGTGCATGCGTTCGCTAGTCAGATTGTGATTTCGGATGGGGTGAATCTGCAGGAAGATTTGTATTTCCCAGTTCTCCAGCTGCCTGTGTTTTTGTCAGGTCCTAGCATCTACTTTGCAATAAACTACTGTCAGCTCAGGGTCTTTGTGTTCAATCTTTGTATGGAATTGAGAATATTTGCTATGGTCTTGCCTGTAGTGGAAATTAATTGCAAAGCATGGGTTCTCCCTGTTTTGTTATCGTAGTAATTGACTGGATCATAAACCTAGAGGAACAACTTCACTGGAGTGCTTCAGTTTCTTTTTTTATTATGAACCTTTTCATCTGACTCAGTCTCTTGCTGTATTTCTAAAAACTTCAACTGAGGGTACTGTGGTCAAGGTGCTCACAGTTCATCTTTTAGTCTTTAAGCCATGAAGTGGCTCCATAAAGTGAGGTGACTAAACTTAATTTATTTGTATACTTCAGATTCTTTTTAAAGGTGGTGATAATTCCATGAGTTACTTTTCCCAAAAATTTTTACCAAAAGAGAATTAGCTGCCACGGGCTGGTTTGGTTCTCAAGTTTGGTGCTTTTTCCAATGATTTTTTTTGCAATTTCCAATATATCTAACTTCTGAAGGCGCAATTTTTTGTTCATTTGGAAGTAATATTGAAACTTAAAGGAAATGGTTATCCTGGCGTTCTTCCCCAAAGCACACGGCCGTCACAGAACTATTGGCATGCTCCCAGACCTTTGCTCAGGGTGTTACCAGCATCAGCTGGATGAATGCCCAAACAACCCACAAGAAGTCACCTTTAGAAGGTCAGTGGAGAGGGAAAGCATCCCTTTTCATATCAGTCATGAGATGTGTCTTATGCAAAGAATAAATTGTCTTAAAATAAGTTTTTTCCAGCTTTGCCAATCGGTCTGCTGAAGCTGTTGCTTCTCTACAAAGTCTGTTGGCTCCTGCAGGGCTTGTGGAGTCTGTCCGTTACTTCCAGGTGCTAACGGGCATCAAGTCAATGTGGTGGCTGGAAGTTCCCTGGAAAACATCAATCACAGAGGCCGAGAAATGCAGTAACATATCCAATTCACGTCAGGAATGCAGCCCAGGCTCACAGT